TCGTACTGTTGATCTGGAAATACAGAACTGCCAGCCAAGCTAGTAATCGAACTCTGCAACCATGGACCACTTGTTCCCTTGCTTTCTCTCTCTCTCTCTCCCCCTGTCCAGTAGTTTCAAAGTTACAGTACCCATGCCACCACTAAAAAATGCTTTATTCACAAAATTGCTGACTTGGATTAAATGTGCCCCATGACTTTTTTTTCCTGAAAGATGCCAAGTTCTGAGCATCCCCAAGCTTACCAGCAAAATGATTTTTGCCCATGGTGCACCCTGGCATCAGCACAAAGTCACTCCCAGGTGAACACTTCCTGGCTGCAGCCACGGGGATCGCACCCCACATAGCGGAGCAGGCGTAAGGAGAAGTGGCCAAGGGAGCGCATCTGTCTGATGCCAAGCGTCTAAGCCACGTCGAGGTGGAAGGATCCAGATGAGGGTAGGGCAAGCAAGGCGGAGAAGCCTGGGACTTTGTTTTTGAGACTAAAACTGGGGCTTTTCCATTTCAGACAAGCTTAAGTGAGGCTTTCCTCCTCTGTTGGTTGAGTTTCTATTCGGATTGCTTTCAGCACCCACCCCCGCCCCCACCAAGTCCATTTAGCAAATTGTCGACATCCCCGAATTGAAATTACACCGAATAAAGGAATCACCATATTCAATATGGTTCCGAATTTCTTTGGGCTCATTGAGGGGCATTGTTCTTTGATGATTTTACATTTATCTAGAAAATACAGTCAGACTCAGTAACATCGTAGGAAATACACAGATTAAAGGTTTCTCTAAGGACCAAACTTGTAAAAGCCTAGGATCGACCCTTTGGGATTTGAAGGCGACAAGAGCCCAGGGTTCTGTGGATCGGGACTCCTCACTCCTGTGTGAGGCAGAGCTGCCTGTCTGCTGCCAGCCAGAGCCGGCGGGCGGCGGGGGGGGGCGCGGGCGAGCAGGGGTGGCAACTCCAGATGCAGGGAGAGTGATTTCTAGGCAATGGATCGTAGCCCAGAGGCTGAACAGCTGGGGCTTCAGAAACAGCCTTCAGTTTCCGGGCAGGCTGTGCTGAAGTGTTGAAAGAACTTGGACTCCGGAGTCAGAGACGCAAATTTGAATGCTGACTCTGCGTTTACTGCCTTTTCCTGATTCAAATGACTCAGCCTTAATTTCTGCTTTTGCAAAATGAACAGAAGACTGCACAGATGAAATGAGCTCATCTCTGTAGGTGCCAGTATTTGTCAGGTATTAGCTGTTAGGCCAAGACATCGTGTCCTGGGCCAGCTCCTCAGGGAGGCACTGAAGTCGGCGCCGACTCCTGCCGGGAGGCTGGGGAGGCTGGGCCCAGCGCTGACTGTTCAGGGCGGGGAGGGCCGCGGTGGGGGGCGCCGGCCAAGCCGGGACAGAGCAGTGAGGAAGGCAGAACACCAACGGGCGGAAGAGGGCGGGATCTTTTATTGTCATGACTGTATTTCCACGTTCTAAGTCTCTTTAGGGTCTGCAAATGTGTATGGCTTTGAGATCAGTTGTCCACAGAATAGACCGTTCCTTTACTTGCTAAAAACAGAGAAGAAAAGAAAAGAAGCCTTAATTCAGGTGTTTCAAGATGTTTGACACTTTGCAAAAAACAAACAGCATCTCTGCTACTGAGGGACCATTAAGTTATTTGTAATTGCCCTGATTTGTTCCACTCTTAATTGATCCTAAACCAGCTTTATCTGCACTGAAGTGAACTTTCCTCACACCTCATTCAAGATCCTGTCAGATCAGGGCTCGTTAGTACATCTTGACTCATCAAGGACTTACCCGAGCAGCGTTCTCAAGCCAGTGACGGCTCATCAACCGTGATATTACCCCCGCTCCTGCTTCTCAACACTTCCCTTCTCTTGAAGTTGCCTTCGTCTGGTTAAGCCTTCATTGCTGCAAAACAATTGATGTACCCAGTACTATAAGCAATAGGTACTACTCAGCCAAGACCCTTACTTTGTCTTATCAGTTTGCTGAAAAAGCTTTGGATTACTTCCTTGCCTCCAGCTCTGCCCCGTTCTAATTTATCTTCCCCATTCCACAGCCATGGCCATCTTTCTGAAAGGTACGCATGACCATGTCATTCCATAGTGGAACCCTTCAGTGGCTTTTTGTGGCCTTCAGGATCAAGTCCAGACTCGTTCATGCTACCACGTCCAGAGTACACATACGTGCGGAGGACCTTGCAACCTCCGAGCATAGTGTTATTACCATTATCTGCAACCTTTCCAGAATAGCTTACATGGTTGTGTTGTAGCACCTCAGCTGGGTTTTAAAGAATGAAACAGAATTCACCTGTCAGGAGGGAAACGGGACAGGCATCCCAGATAGTGAGAGCCACGTGTTTAAAGACAACAAAGCAAAGAAACATCATAGTGTATTCACAGCATGATGAATAGTCCAGTGTTGGACCTTGAGATGCAGACAAGAAGTGGCCTTCCTTGGTCTACTGAGGGGCTTGGATTTACTTTATAGGAGGTGAGGGGTCATTAAAAGGCTGTCAACTGGGAAATGATTCATTTTGTATTTTAGAAAGAGGAGGACGTCAGAGAGATTGGAAAGGAGAAAGACGGTAACATGCGGTGAGTATCTCCTGTGCCTCGGGAACTCTGCTAGATGCTTCATCCAGGCTGTTTCTTTTAATTTGTACTAGAACCCATTTTACAGATGAGGAAATGTAGATTGAGAAAGACTCAGCCATTTCTCTGACTGTAGCTTATATGGGGCGAATCCACGTGCTTTTCACTAGGGCATCCAGCTCCAGGGACCAGGGCAGAGCCTCCGCCACTGCCTGGGGCCCTGCAGCTGGGGTGTCCCGGGCTGTCCTCACCTCTGCTGCAGCCCCCTTACCCGAGGACCACCCCCACCCAGCACTGTGCTGGCCCAGCCCTGGGCACGGCTGCCCGGCTGATGTGTCAGGCGTCTGTAGGAGTTTGCTGTTGCCGCCTAACAAGTCAGCACCGGCTTACGCGCTGAAGACAGCGCCTGTTTAGCAGCTCACGTAGGGCAGAGCTGCTCTCAGCTCAGGGCCTCAAAGGCTGAGGTCCAGGTGTTGGGCTGAGTTCTCGTCTCCAGCTCTGGGGGAGAATCCACTTCCTAGCTCATTCAACTGTTGGCAGAATTGACTTCCCTGTGGTTGTAGGACTGAGGTCCCCGTTTTTTCCACTGTCAGTGGGGAACTGCCCGTGGCAACCAGAGGCTGTCCATGTTCCATGCTTCTGGCCCCTCCACCTCCGAGCTGGCCACAGGGTATTGAATCCCCCTAGTCCTTTGAATCTCTGACTTGCTCTTGTGCCTCCAGCTGGAGAAAACATTGTGCTTGTAAAGGGCTCATGTGATTAGGTCAGACTCACCCAGATAACTCCCTTTCCTAACGTCAAATGTGCCATATAGTGCAACCTCCTCACTGGAGTCAAATCCATCTTACTCACCTTCCCGGGGATTAGGTGGCAGGGTTACACTGGAGATTGGGGCTCTTGGGAGACACCCTAGTGTCCTGCTCACAAACACACCTTGATTACATTTATGTTTATAATTTGAGGGATAAACTAAGAGTGTGGGATTAGCAGATACAAACTAGTATATACAGAATAGATAAACAACGGTGACCTACTGTATAGCACAGGAAATTATATTTGATAGCTTGTAATAACCTATAATGAAAAAATATGAAAAAGAATATATATATATGTATAACTGAATCACTTTGCTGTATACCAGAAACTGACACAACATGATATATCAACTATACTTCAATAAAAATTAAAAAATAATTTGCCATTCTTTAAAATAAAAATGTTCCTCCTTGTAATAACCCAGGGTTTTGCTCCTGTCTGCTGGCTAACTAACGCTTACCAGAAGTCTCTGCAGAGAGGGAGACCTTAGCAGATGTTGCATTTCATTACTATTTTAGGAAACAATTTATTCTACTTCTGCTTAACAGGCTGCAGGCTGGCTTGATCTTTCCTCCCTGTGCACACAGCCTTAGGTGCCTCCTTGTTTAGAGTGGAAAACAGAAGATTCCGGTCTCCATTCCCTGCGCCTACCTGGCCTAAAGCGACGGCCCCTTAGTTGAGGCAAAGGTCTGTCAGAATTCTGTGCCCTTCAGACACATGTTCTGACTAATGTCGGATCCAGATTTTGCTGCTGATTAAAATGCTTCTGCTTATCAACCTTAATTTGTGAATTTTAAGCTCTTGTTTTTTACTTACAAATATTTTTCAACTTTATGAATTTCTTTTTGACTACAACAGAAACAAAAAGTGTAAGAGAATTTAGGAGCTGGCTGTTGCTCAGTCTAGGGGGAGAAGGGGGCGGGAACACGTGCAGACGTGGGACGCCTGCCCGCTGGGGGTGCGGGTGACCCGGGTGTTTGCTGGACCTGGTCTGCACCACACCCTTACCCAGCGTAAGACGTCGCCTTTGCTGGGGGAAGGGGCGGAAGGCACTTGAGGGAGCGGAGTTGCAGGAGAGCTGAAACTCACAAGGGCTGGGGCTTGGTATCAGAGATCCGTAAAATTCAGAAGCCGAGAGACTGTCCTGGCTTCACAGCCTTGGTCTTCCTGGGGAGGCAGCTGGCACCGTCCTGGAGGAACTGCCCTCAGGGAGGCGACTGACTGCTTGTCTCTCATGAAATTTAAAGGGGTTGCAAAGTTCCTTCACTAGTCTGTTTGTGATAGTTTGCAAAAACCAGTTTGAATGATGTTTGCCTGAGTGATTTCATGATGGGTTTTAAAGTATTGGCAATTTTATTTTGCATGGATGATGGCTGAACACCGTGTAGTCATCATAGCTTTTAAAAAAGGAGCGGAAATAGGGCTTTTGATTTCTGAAATTTTTTATCGGGAAGGACTTTGAGGAAAAGGTTTGTGTTCATAAACTAAGGAAGAGCGAATGGTTTTCAGAGACCAGGAAAGGGGAGCCCACCGTTTATTTCGTGTTTACCGCATGTCGGATACTTCAGACATGACTTTGTAGTCCCCGCGGCTCTTGCTCTTCCGATGTTAGAAACGAGGATGCAGGGGAAGAACAATGATTGCCTGTCCCAGGGCTGCCATGTTCTCAGCCTGGAGCTGCACCCACCAGGGGGCTCGGTGACCACGGCCGCCTTTCATCAGAGCCAGTGGCCAGGTGGGCACAGCCAAAGCAAAGCAGAGGAGGGCTCTCTTTGTTTTGTTTTGCTTCAAAGTCCAGAAATTATGGTGTTTTACAAACTGCTTATTTCCGTACATATCCTTAGGATTCTTCAAGGAATGACGTATTCTCCATTAAATCATGATGATTTAAACCACTGGAGGAGCATCAGCATCTTTCTGTTTTCTATTGGGGTTTCCCCCGTGCAACTTCAATTGAAAACAGGCGCTATTTCTGTTATCAAGATACTTGTATTTGGACATTAGTACAGCTCCTGGGGGCTGAGGGTTTGGGACGAAGGCTGTCAGAATTAGAAAGAGCTCAGTCCATGTCCCCAGTTTCTGATCGAGACGGATCAGGGTAACATATATGGAGAGCAGAGGTGGTTCCACTGCTGAACAGACATCAGAACATTGTTGAATGTTGAAGATATTTTTGTACAGCCTTAGTTTATCTAAAGAAGTAACTGAAAGTTAGCTATGAAGAATTATTAAAGAAATAACTGTTAAAGAAGCAACTATAAAAATCCTGGCCTAGGCTTTTTTTTTCATTTGTTAAATTCATTTTAATTGTATTGGTCACACTTATTCATATTTGAAGGTTATATATGTTGGGAATATATTCATTTTTTAGAAGACACATGTTTCAATTTGCACATGAAGCCACGTGACAATGCAGCTCTATTTCCACAGCCTTGTGGAGTCTCAAAACCAAAGCATGGACCCACTGCCCTTGATTCAACTATCTAAAATAACACTTTTCCTCAGTTATTTTATAAACTTCAGTGGGTCACTGTTCCCTACTGCATTGTCTGAGCTGGGATTTTAGGTGTTACCCGTCTCATTTTCCACTAAGATAAGTAGGGACTGTCTTTTGACTAAATCTTTCAGTCTGTCCTTCAGCTAGAGTAGCGGTTTTCCCTGGAGGGGGCTTTTGCCCCGAGAGGGCATTTGACAATAACTGGAGGTGTTTCTTGATTGTCACAGCAGTGGAATTGGGGGTAGACAGGGAGAGGGTGTGCTGCTGGCATCCACTGAGTAGAGGCTGGGGATACGGGTGAGCACTCCGCAGTGCACAGGGCGTCCTCCATGGCAAAGACCCGTCTGGCCCAAGGTGTGGACAGTGCCCTGTTGGAAAACTCTGGACCAAAGGGAGAGAGTAGTGCAGTTGTCACTGAGAAACAAAACTAGCGCTATGTTGAAAGAGAGAAAAAAAAAGGAAGATGACTACCTTCTTGGACCTCGGAAGAAGAGAGGGGGTTTTCTAGATCCCAGGAGCAGAGAGAAAATTCTTAGAGTTCAAGTGGCGAATATTATTTGGATTTACAAGTTGAAAAACCTCCTTAAAGCCAGTACGCTTTTCATTTTTTTGAGACTGTTCAGTTATGATATCACTCATATGCGGAATCTAAAAAAAAAAAAGAAGGGAAAAAAGGACACTAGAA